ACACCTAATGCGCTAGGTGTGGCTGTTACGTTGTAAAAATGTGTTGTCCGGTACCAGCAAAAACTCATAAAAATACTCTTTCTCTGCCCAAATTCTACCTATGTCTGCAAAAAGGAAATTTCTCCTTTCACTCATAGCATGCAAGGATTTGGCACTGGGTGTGTTCTGAAGTTTAAGGAGCCTTTCAGGGATTGGGAGATATTTGGGATTCTCTGCTAAAGTGTGTGAGCAGACAGGAGCTCCCTCAGGCCATTTGCTTTGAAATTATTTTCAAAAAAATTCTCTTGTGATTTATCAAACAGAACTACCTTACTACCAGCTTCTGTAGATGTTGCCTTTTAAGTAAAGGCTGTAAGCACTATCCTACTGATTGCTTTAATTGACTTGTTACGTTGTTATTACTAAGAGATAAGTGTAGCTGTGAGTAGTCTTTTAAATCCCTAGGTACCAATCAGCGTGTTAGAGAAACAGAGATAAGAAAGTTACTGAAAAACTTCAGTGATGCACTAAATACCTCTTTTGGTTTCAAAGCATATTTTGCCCAAAGGATAAAAATAACAAACATTTCTTATTTTCTTGTGAAGCTTCAGATGTCAATAATTCTATAATTTCAGCCCATACAAATGGAGAACCCCTATAAAGAGCCTCCTAAAAAATGTGTCTTATGTGGAATAAATGTGGACTACAAGAATGTGCAGGTGAGTTTGAAAATTCTTGTCCTTAGATGAAGGTAAGTGGTTTACCATTTTTAAATGTGTGTGCAGGAAGTCCACAAGGATAAAAAATGAAAAATTCATTCATATGTGTAGGGGTTTAAAACTTAAAAGTAAGAATGTGTGTAGATGAGTGCCAAATAATGCAGTTGTGATAAGCTGTTCAATCTACTAGTCCTATGTGCAGGTGTTACAACTTTACTATTTACCAAATAGAGTCCTTGATTCTAATTCTGCTGTCATATACGTTAAATATTGTGGCATATAAAGTACTGTCTAACTTCAAGCTATGCTTTTTCTAATCACCATGTAGAACTGAGTTTTGTAAAAATAGATCAAAAAATGAAAAACAATACAAACAGTAAAATAAAGCTGTCTAAAAAAAGTTCTTAAACTGACTTTGGATTTCTTAATTTTAAATAGCTTCTTTCCCAGTTTGTTTCTCCGCATACTGGCTGCATTTATGGCAGGCACATAACAGGTATGTGAAGTATTAAATTAAATCATTTACTGCTTAATATTAATGTTCTTGTGAGTCCAAGTAATGGTGTTATCAGCTATCGTGCCAAAAGTAACTACTGCCAACTCTATACATTTTGTAATAGTATGCCTCTGACTTAGTAGCTTTCATCAAGGAATGAAAATACCCCTTAATTATATGGGTTTTTGTATTTAGCAGTATAAGCACACATGCATTTTTCTAGGAAGGCACTTAAAGTCTGAGGGAAAAAAAGCTGGAGGGAATTGTCAGTCAGTATCACTTTCACCCTTTAAAGTAGTGGTTTGGTTATTGAAAATGGTTATATATTTGGTTACTGAAAATGATTTTTTTCTCTTTAGGCTTGTGCAACAAGAAGCAGAAAGAAATTACAAAAGCCATTAAAAGAGCTCATGTATTTGGTAAGTATTGATTATGCTTTTGAGTTTTATAAGTCAAGCCTACTTTCCTATTAAAAAAATCCCTCCATCTTATCTTTTTACAGGATTTATGCCAGTTATGTTTAAGAACCCATCATTTCTCACAGACCCCAAGATATGTAATATCAAGTATCCGGAGTAATATACTATAAAGAAATAAACAATAAAACTACTTTTCATCTTTATATACTTGTTTACTGGAAATGTGGTTGGCTAGCGTAATGCGTCACTGACTGAAGGGTGGGTGTCTGCTGCTTTTTTAATAACTGTCAAGTCTCTAAAATTGTCTGAAGTATGGAAGATGAAAGCAATAGTAGAAATTGGCAATGGTATGGACCACTTACTCTGCTCACAGATCTTGCTAAAGTTCAGCTGGCTGGTTTTCCCTTGCTGGATTGGAAGGGACAAAAAATAAACAAGTAGTGGATAGCTAAGGATAAATTAAAGTATTCAAATTGTGGCAATTTACATAGATGGCTACTTCTGTTAAGCATGTTACTTGTGTTCATTTGATGTTCCCTGCCTGAACTTCTGCTGAGGCAAGGGTAGTACTGCTTCTTGAACTGCAGCCTCAAGCTGTGTTACTCCGAGGCAGTATGTGACATGGTTATGTGACTCCTAACGTCTTGCTAGCATAGTCTTTAAACCCTGAGACAGTGAATACAGATTTAACTCTGGAAGGCAAAATGAGGGAATGTCATCTGGACTTGTCTCTATGCCAAACAGGATTCGTGCATTGGGGGGGAAAAAACCCCCAAACTTGGATGTCTTGCAAAAATGCACTGCTTTTTTTTGTCCCTGCAGTGCTATAAATCAATATGTCACTTGAATATGCTGGCAATAGCTTTTGGTGCAGTGTCATCTGGACAAATCATTAACAGATCAGAAAGTAGGAGAGTGTGGGTATTCATTTGTGTCTCTAATTTTTTCCAACACATCCTCATCTGTTTCAGTGCTACTTAGTGTAAGCTTCCTTTCCTGGTCACTGTCCTCTTGGTCTCGAAGTAATCTTTGGTGAAGCTGCAGCGATCTGGATTTCTTGAATGACTTTGATCCTGTTGTGGTCCCTGTGACTTTACGCTTGGTCAGGTGTCTTGTTTCAGCTTCAGTGAAGTCTCTTTCCTCTACCATGAGAGTCAGTTTGTCTGTGACATTAATATTATGGTCAATGTTACAGCAGTTCTTGGGTATCTGTCGGCCTTTGAAGGAAACAATACATGTCTGAAGCCCAGAATTGGGGAAAAATGTTTGCAGTGCCTGACAAAGGAGAATGTTCTCCTTTGGCTCTCCTGGGTAGTCTCTGTCTTCTCCTGGGGGGGGGAAAAAAAGCTAGAGTTGCAGTCCCTCTTGCACACTTCTACCGCTACTTTTTTGGCTGCCTCAAGTTCACAAGCGTTTTGTGCTTCTGCCAATTGAATCATCTTTGGAAGTCTTACTAAGGCTGGCATTGCATTTATTTAACTTACCTGAACAACTTTGTTGCTTTTTCCTCTTTATTTCTTCTTTTAATTGGCTCACCTCTGCTAAGAGTTTCTCTACAGATCGTTCACTGGCTTCTACTGTAGAGCATATTTTCTGCAAGGAAAAGAGCATTTGATGGAATCAACAATATTCACAGAAGATGACTTTAACCTCGTTGCAAAATCCTTAAAGGTACTCATGATTTTAAAAGTTGGACACAAAGTATTAAAAAGCTTAAGTAATGAACCTGAGGTGGAGTTTAGAGATGATAAACTTTGTGCTGAATGAGGTGCAAGATGTTTTACTTTTTCCCATCTAAGCAAAGGAGCTCTGACAAACTATAAATAGTGCTCCTTCAAAATAATCCTCTTGTGAGAATTTAACAGCGGACTTGAGGATTTATCAGTGTACTTCTGATCAAATAGAAACTTTGGTCTTGGAACGTGGTGTACAGCTACTAACAGTAAATGGAACTCCCTGATCATTCAATACGCGCTTCCAAGACACAGCTTTGTTTCAAATTTAGCGCAAGACAGTGTATACTTTGCTTGACTTGGTTTTGTAGTAATGCTGAAAGTAACTGTATTGGCAGGTGTGCCTGAGTTACCTTCAGTTCCTCCTGCAAGGTGGCATACATCTCATTTATCTTATGAACCTCTTGTAAGGATCCATCTTCGTAAAAGAATTCTGACCTGTGGACCAAGAATATAATTGCAAGTTAATGATCCCAGCGCTTACTTAGTAGGAGCTATAATGAATAAAGAACCATTCTGAGCTTCAAGGCTAGGTGCCCATGTTGAGACAGCTGTCTTATGGCAAAGTATGGGACTTAACTAACTTCCAAGTACCTTGGAAAGGTAAATAATTGCAGGACACAGGTCAACAAGTGAGTAGGGTACAGCCGTAGCGTTTGCAAAAGCACTTAATACTTTTATAGAAAGATAACTATACTTAACTGAAAGCTACAGCTATAAGTAAATATTGTACCTATGTTGTCTTACTGCTCTCACAAAACCAGAAGATACGCAGGAACCAGACACTGTTCTGTAACCTTGCTGTTCTGCCATACCCAAGTTGGTAACCACCAAAGGAACTTTCTGGAAAAGACTTAAAAAGCAGAAGTATGAGAACATGATTGAATTAACATCCAAAGGCCTCCCTTTGATAGTTAAAGGTTCTTGACCATTAAGCATCCCAGATGGAGGTTTACAATATAGTTAGTTCTTGCTAAATGTATTGCATCACACATAGATGACTACTTACGGCTAACAGCAAACTGCAAGAGCAAGAAGGCTCTGAACAATGCCTCTAGTTTTCTCCTGTTTCTGGGTATGAGTCACACAATAATGCAATACTTGCTTATTAAGCCTAGCCTATGGGCAGCATGTCTCTGAAGAAAACTGAAAATTACCACTAATTTAAATATTTCAGTGATATGTGAAGATTAACACTGTGCATAGTTGAAGTCCTATACACAAAGCCAAACTGATCAAGAACAGCTTATGTGCATAAAATAACTGACAGTGTCTGCCTGTGGACACTGCCACTACAGACAGTTACAAAGGCAAATCCCTGAACAGAACTCCAGGGTAAGATTTCAGCTGGGCTCTAGCAATATAAGGAATAATCTTATTTAATGTGTAAGTTTCAAGGGTAAAATAAACAGTTAACAATAGTTCAGTTGCAACAAAAAAAGCCCCAAACTGTTCCAAGTTATAGCACATGCTGTGCTACTGCTTTATTAAAACTAGAAAACAAACCAATTACCCTTCTTGTGGCCGATGTAAGGCATGTTCCAGTCTGTAAGTAGAACAACTTTCTGTCATCATGCTAGAAGTTAATAAAAGGAATACAAGGCCCTGATTTGATAGGTGTGACTGTAAATTCTTATGAAGAAGTCTTTCCCGGAATGTCATGGTCTGGTCTGTGTTACGTCTGAATTTGTACCATCCTATTACACTCTGCAGGCAGAAGAAAATTCATTATTATTGTTGAATTATGCTGTCCCTGTGTCATATTGAAGCAAGTTAGAGGATTCAGTACAAAGTCATGAATCTGAATTGTTTGATGATGTGTACATACCAGTTAGTTAACTGTACACAGCAGTTAGTTAACTTGAAACCCTTAAAACATCTAGGCCTAATTCCTGTATGACAGCGTCTCTTTCCTTCAAAACCATGTGTTGAACTGGCCTGTTTTCTGAGCCTGTGTTCAAGCTGCAACTCTGCAAACTTGGTTCTGCTGTTTTCCTCCTTGTCTTTCCAGCTTCTGCTTTCCCTGGTGAAACTTTCTTCTGTGGAGGAGACTGTCAATTTTTTTGGTCAAGTGGCGCTTAACCACTTGAGTGAGCTGACCTCAACTGATCTTCAGCTAGAATTCCTTTGGGATATTCAAACTGTTTGCTTGAGAAATGAGTAAGAAAAAATAAAGTTGTGACATATATGTAGGCAAAGCCTAGTCACAAATAACCTAACCTTTTCTTTCAGGGGAAAAGATGATGCAGCTGCCTTGACCAGCAGTGTGAGGGACTAGATGCAAGATTGAAAGAGGGGAGAAAAAAGCTTGATACAAGAGGTATCCAGAACAGTCCCCAAAATCTTGAGCAAGCTCCTTGGTATGGTTTAGGTTTGAAAATAAAATACCTTCTTACAGCCTGATAGTATTTTCTTCAGGGCAAGTTCATTCAGTTCTCCTGCAGAATTATAAAAGCTAGAAGAAAATTAGGAAAATTAGATGGAAAAAAAAAAAAAAGCTACTGTAGAAATAATTATTCCATAGCAGTCTGGCAGTCATCTCACTTTAGTAGCTTTTTTTCCCCCCTGGTTAAGCATGAAGATATGCTAGGACAGTGCAGTTAATTTCATTACTCAAATAGCTATGTAGGTGGTCTTGTACAGCCTGGATGCTGTTCGGACATCAGTGCTACTGGGATACAAGTTAAAGGTAGCATCTATGTTCTCTCAACTACAAAATAGTAAGACACCTTCAATTGGATATGAAATGCCTTTCCCCTGGGTTTACTGATTTTCAGAAAGATTTGAGAAGGAAACTGTGTTGTGATTCTCCCCTTACAGGGGTGCAAAACTGCGCACCTGCATTTCCATCTGTGATAGAACTCTAAATACTAGTCCTTGAAACTACTCCTGCCATGGGGCTGACAAGTGTTTCTAGTTTATATGGTATCATAGCTCACCAGAAGGTGCAGTGTGCCGTATCTCTATTTCTATATGCGTAAACACCAAAAAAGGACATGAACCAAAATAGGAATAACATAAGGCATTTTGCATCTGTAATTCCAATGGGTTGATATGGCTACTGTAGTTACAGCTGGGTAATTTTCTCAGTAATGTAAGTTTAACTCTTGAAGAGTTCAAGTTAGGGTTAATTCTAGCTTTTTCATATCTGTTTACTTAAGATTCTTACCTGAACAACTGGTAGCATGGAATATGCTTCTGTATATCTGGAAAGAGAATGTAATATTACTCTGGGTTCATCAGTTTGAGATGCATATTCTTCTGTATGCTATGATCAGAATTAAACTGGTAGAAGAACCAAGAAAGAATTCTATATAATATAATTTCTTAAAATCCTTAAAGTCAAATGCATTAACATCTAATTAAGTAAGGTTAAGAAAAAAAATATTTTTTAAAGAAAAGATTCTAATTAATTTTTTAAGTGTAA